ATGAAACCTTCTATATGTTTTTTTTTTACTTTATTATGGTTGGTTTTCGTTTTTTTAAAAAGTACTCTAAACTGTATAAATGATGTAAAATTAAATTGAATTTATTAGCCAATCAGACGAACTTCTGTCTATGGCATGAAAACACAATATATTTTGTAGGACTTAGATCCTGTACGCAGGGTTGGCAATGGAGCTCAATAGAACTCCATTGGTTCCTTTGCCAACCTGCTTGTATGTACGTACCAGATCCTGAATTAATCTATAACTCAATTCGAGGTCTAAGTCCTATAAAATGTATTGTATTTTCATGACTAACATCCCTAAAGGGATAAAATTTATATATTATTTGACTAGTTGAAAAAAAACTATACATACACGATTGGCAAATTTATAAAGTTTAAAAGGCTTTGAACCACATGTTCTAAGAACAAATCTTGTGGATTATTTTTGTGTAGTATTTTATAAAGTTTAAAGTAGCATCTTTTGTAAAGATTTAAAGCTGGTCGCATCATATCGATATCGGTAAAATAAAACAATTGATTGTGTAACGGTAAAATAAGCTTATCTGTGAATTAATTACACGAGATACAGCTAGAAATCCGGTTTTTAATCACTATTTGCTGTTCAAATTAGTAATGGTAAACTTTAGAAAAATAGGCTTGGCATAGCGATAAAGTAGCGGCTCGGCTCGAAGTTGGTAACTTATAAATAGCTCGTTAACATTAGCTGTGAGCCAGCCGTTTGCATCACGTGTCTATTCTTGAAGATGTTACATAACACTTATTTTTTTGTTTTACATCGGAACATTATACAAAGGCGTTTTATTTTTTATTTATGTAAATAAAACGTAAAATATGAACGTGACCAACGGAGTTTCCGGATTATAATCTATTATTAACAGATTCAATTTTGATTAATAACCTACTAAGCCGACTTGGCCGTACCAAAATTATCGAGCCGGCTAAGCTTAAAGTGTTAAGTTTTATCGACTATATCATTAGTTTCTTGTGTTATATACTGCGTCCAAATCCTGAAACTCGACTTCGCGCATATTAACATATCTTTCGCATTCTTGCTTTACATTACATTTCATCGCGTAAAAGTAACGCAGACCATCGGGATCGGGGCTTACATTATCAATATTAGCTTGACAATGCTCAAGTCCGTAGAATGTTTTGCCTGAAGCTGATAGCGTATCAGTGAAGTTATGATCATTGATAAAATCATCTATTTCAGAAGCTTGATCGCCCATTTCAGTCAATCCACCTGCGTATTGAAAAATGTCGATAATTTGATGGTTGTACGTATCAACTGGTTGTATATTGAACATATAAGTATCTTGAGAGTTTAAATCGTCATCGAAGGATTGATTACTGTTCAATATAGTATCTTGAATATTTGAATATTCATTTGAGTCATTGTTTTCATATTGTTGTCCTTCATGTCTCTCATCCGACACTTTCACTTTACTAGGGGTTGTCGTATTTCGATTTCTGACATTAGGCACCGGCGTTGAGCATTCGCTCGACACATCTTTATCGCCGGTTTTTGATTTTTTTTTCTTTTTATCGTTCGCTGGCATTCTTTCATTTTTGTAGGCACCATTAACAAAGCAGCACATAAATTCGTCTGGAATACTCCAGTAAGAACCTTTTGCAGGATGCCCACTTTCTCTTTCAACTTTACGAAATGCCGGGCAAAGTGTTAAATTGTGTCGAATTGAATTCTATCCCACATAATAATATAAGCAAATGATTCATCTGTAAATACCAATTACTTTGGCTACCACATACCTGCCATCCTTTATTTTCTTTTTTATAAAATGGATATGTAGCCATTATCCATTCATAAATTTCATTTAAAGGTAACCTTCTATTTGGAGCTTGAAGAATTGCTTGTCCAATCAATGATGCGTATGTATACAGTGGCTTTCTATTTGAATCTTTAGGTTTAAGTTTGATTTCGTCTTTCGTGTTATTAACAATGGGTTCAAAATTTTCATCTTGTTCCCTTTCCTGTTGTCTTCGCTATAGAATATTTTTCAGGTGTCATACATAAATGAAGAGTTATAAACTTATTTATTACAACAAACTCTCTCCTTATAAACCCTCTTTTCTCTGTAAACCCAAATTCTTTAGGGATTGTAAAGTGGGTTAACTGTATGCATACATGCAAAGGCTTCGTTTGGAGATATAAGAAAACACTTTACCTTACGAATCGTCTTTTGATTACCATTAAGATAATCGTCCATAGTCATTTCACCTTTTAGCAATTCTAGCACAGGTGTTATTTTATTTGATGCTTCTCGCAACGGATTATTCGAAGCTTGTTGTAGATTAGCGTTTTGAAAGAAATCCATGACGCGTTAAGAGAATCTGGGTGATGTAAAGAAAGTTTATAAATGCTTGCAGATGGACACGTCTGACAGCCAATCAAATTTAGTGTTAACGTTAACGGAAAAATTTGGATCACTTGACTCGTAATGACGACATTCTTCTGATTGGCTAATGTAAATTAATTGCCCGGGTAACTTATTTATACACCTTAAAGTACTTTTTGAGAACGTTAACAAAAAACCTAAAAGCAAATTCTAGTTCTTAACGAACGTTATTATTCATTGTTAAAATTAATTTAAACTAATCCACACCTCCAAGAACTTCACTTAGATGCGAATATTTTTATTATATACTTGCTAGTACTAGTTATATTAACTATATGTAAGTTTTTAAATGCCAAAAACGAACAACAGAAAAAAAAGATTGAGACGTTATATGTAAGCTTTAAACCTAAAGATCTTTGAGTATACCGTTTAATATACTATATTATATAATTTTATGTATTCCGAATATTATATAGAATTACAGTATACTAGATTAGTAAATATGGCTTTGGGTATCGATAATATGTATATCATGATGAATAAAAAATATAATTATTTTAATTACTTTCAAAATATAAATACTAAGAGATATCTTCGTTAATAATTTAGTCGTACAGTACATTGAATTTTTGATCGGGTTGACATGGATTTATTACGCGGATCATAATGAAATTGAAAAGAGGGATTTCTATTTGACCCCTAAAATCCATTTATACTTGTTTATTATAAATTCTGCCCCTAAACACTAATGCTAATCTTTAAAAATGCTAAAAAAATGCACCTCAAAAATTTATATTTTCGGTGGCTTGTCTATTTGACATTATTACTCATTTTAATACGTCACAATTTCTAACATGTAGCATTTTAATTGGCTAATTAAACAGGAGCAACCGTGAGTGTTCTAATTTCCCCCACCACTTCTGATTGGGCACTGTAAATATTGTCTTTGATTGGAGGAGTAAATTACACCTCCGTTTGGTGTCGTCACAAAAGTCAAAATAATAGATTATTAATTACCATTACCCCTAAGAGCAAATATATTACTGTTAAATATTGTCAAAAATTTTTATGTTATGTTTTTAATCGTCAAATTACTTTTATAAAAATTGAACTTCAAATTTTTGTTGTTTCAAACTTTAAATATAAATCAAAGTAATTTTTTATTTTTTTTTTAATGTTAAGGTGAGTACTTGCGACCCAGAATTTTATTGATAGTATATATTAGTTAGCAACTGTTGTATAACAATCACAAGGGTAACTATAGAAAGAGTGTACAATTAGTTATTTATACAACATTATATAGTTATTGTTTAATTTAAGTAGTTCATTCAAAGGTTCTATACTAATTGTCATATATAGAACTCATCTGTAGGTCTTATATTTAACATTCTAAATCTCATATTCACTTTATTTTATCAACAACCTTGGTAAATTGATGAAAATATGTTATAGTCACTAAGTTATATTAATTTTATATTAAACCTATCAGAGTTTTCTGTATCTTATACTTATAGCTAATTCAATATTACTTTGGTTTAAATTAGCACTTGCAGTTAGGTTTAATTATTAAATCATTATATTCTTGTAAGGTTCATCTAAATCTCAGTATTTATTTTTCTAATATCTTTTTTATCATCACTTATTAACTATTATTCAGAACTGATAAAACTTTACAGACTTTTAATTTAGATAACTTAATATAATATATCTTAGTATTTTTTTTCTTTTGACAATTTTAATAGTCTGGTTGGTTATATGTTTCTTTATACATCTTGTTATCTGATTTATTTGCTTATTGTTTTGAAGATATTTTATAAATTTTTATTAATTAAATAATATTATTAAAATTTTATATTATTTTTTTACTTGAAATTTTTAAGTAAACTTCTGATTTTTTAGTTCTTTTACTTTCTGTACCTGATAGTCTTATTATGGGTTTGTATTAAAGTCTTAAACAATACTAATTATTAATATTTCTTTATATATATATAATATTATATTTTATATAAATATTTCAAGTTCTTATTCAAAATAATATGACTAAAAGTTACAGATATATTAATTTAACTAATTAACAGAAACAGTTACTATAATACAAATATAATTTTTAAAATTTATTATTTATAAGATTTGGACTTTAGACTTGTTATTCAAAAATTAACAACTTGTTTACTTTACTAAATTATTACATCTTAAATTAACATAATTAAGTCTTAAATTTTAAATATTTATTAATTTATTAAAAAATATATAATAATTTATTAGATTTATAAAATTATTAATTAGAATAAATAATTTTGAATACTTAGTAGATTTTTTTTAAATATTAAAGATGAATAAATAATTTTGAATACTCTGTAGATTTTTTTTAATATTAAAAATAAATACTTGCAATTTAAATTTTTATTAATAATATATTTTAGCTTGTGATTATATTATAACAGTTACAGAAAATAATCATAAAAAGAGTATATAACTAATTACTTGTATAATATTAATTATTATTTAATTTAAGTAGTTTGTTTAAAGGTTTTATACTAATTGTTATACTTAGAACCTATTTGTGAATTCTCTATTTAAATACTTTAGTTTCTGTATTTATCTTTCTACTTATTTTATTAATTATCTTAGTTTTTACTAATGCAAATATATTATAATTATTAGGTTTTTAAAGTACTTCAAAATTTTTGATCTTATACTAAACCTATTAGAGTTTTTTGTTATCTAATTTTTAGCTAATTTGGTATTACTATAGTTGAAACCAATATTTGTAATCAGAATAATTCTTAAACTGCTATATCTTTATAAAGTTCATATAATTTTATATTCTTTTTTACAATCTTATCAGTATCTTATATATTTTTGTAAATCCTTTTATATTACTAATTTAGTTAGCTTTATATGATACAACTTTATGTCTAATTTAATTAGTAGCCAGATTAATAAACCTTTTTTATTTAAAGTTCTTGTTTGTATAGATTACTTAACTCAGGTTTTTTTCTTTAAATTAAGATTTTTATAAATAGCACTATCAAAAAAAATACTATATTTTTATTTAAAATTTCTAAACAAAGCTTTTTTATAGAATATATACTTTTTAAATTTATTTATATAATATTGTATACTTTCAAAATTAGTTTTGATACAATCAAAATTACAGAATTACAATTGCATATACTTCAATTAAATTATTATAATAGAAGTATTTTTCAAAATTCAACTACTAGTAGGATTTGAACTCTAAACTTATTGCTTAGAAAATAACAACCTAATTATTATACTAAATTATTATCCTTCTTAGCTGAGTTTTTTTATTTTTTAAAAAAACTAATTTTATATAAATTTATTTAAATATAAAGAAAATAAATATACAAATAATAATAATAATAATAATAATACTTAATACTTATTTTGTCTTATAATTTTTACATTTGATACTATTTAATAAATTTTTAATTTATTATTAATAATAATCTAAAAAGAGGCCTTACTAGAATGGCCTCAAAGACTAGCCTGAATAGTCTTCTAGTAGTGAATATAAACTCATTCTAGTGTGACAAGTTATCTCTGGGCACTAACACAGTAGCTGGGAGATGTCAAACCTAAAAATTAAGCTAATATTTGTATAATTATATATGCAATTCTTTTAATAAAGGATTTTGGCAAGGCTGCCAAAGAGTTAAAAAAAAAACAATAATAATCTAAAAAACAAATTTTATTTTTATAATTCTTTTTTATTTTTTTTATTTTTTTTTATTTTTTTTTTAGTATTAAGATGACCTCTTGAGTTTTTTGATTTTATTTAACTATAATAAATGTAGTTCAGTAAACTATTACAACAAGAGCATAGAATTGAGTATATGTATAACTTTTTTATATTACTTATTTAAAAAGTTCATTAGAAGGTTTTTTAATAATTGTTATATCTAATATCTATGTTTGAATATTCTACTTTAAATTCTTTAAACCTGCAAACCTGTTAACTTTACTAAATCATATCTGATGCCCAGATTATTATTTCAACCTTAGAACTATTTTATTTTTGAGATAAACCTCCCAAAGCCTTCTGTATTTATTTTTATAGCTGACTTAGGTATTGCTATAGCAGAACTAATACTTGCAGTTAGGACTTAATCATTAAACTACTATGCTTTTGTAGAGTTTACTTAGATCTTAGCATTTACTTCATAGCATAATCTTAGTACTTTATTATATTCTTGTCTTTTTATTTATCTTTTTATCAAACTTCTAATCCAGATAATCTGTGTAAAACTATGACTAGTTCATTAATATATCAGGTCAATTTAATATTCTTTTCTTTTAGTTTATTTTGGTGGCCTGGTTAGTGGTACCTTTGAGATTTCCAATCTGAAGGTTTTTGCCTGTCTGGCTACTATGACTGAGTACTACAATCTTAATATTTGTTTCTCTAAGCTAGCCTTTACAGTAGGACTATTAAAAATCTAGCTATCTCTTTATTTGGGTTTTTTTAAATAAACTTCTTGTTATTTAATTTTAATAGATTTATATAGTTACAAGAACTTATCTAGTATTTGTACTGCCTGATTTGTTGGTTTGCATTTCTCTGTATAACTCTAAAATTGCATAGATGCCCTATGACCTGTCAGTTATACTGATGTAACTATCATTACAGATATTCTAACCCAATCATTAGTAACAGTTGCTATAATACAAATATTATATAGGTAATTATTCAAATTTTTACAATTGATAAGATTTGAACACCCAACTTACTACTTAAAAAGTTAACAATCTGACTATTTTACTAGGTCATTACACCTCTTTTTTTTATTTTATTTAGGTAGTATATTAGAAAGCTATTTATAAATTATTATTATTTTTTTTTGTTTTCACTAAGGCTATTAGTTATTAGCAATATTATTTTTATTATAATTTAATTATAATTATATAACTTGTATAAGATAAGTATACAACTAGTTACATATACAACTTTTGAC